AATTTCCTTCCTGCAGGAAGATTAAAATTGGGTGCCCATTGGCCTACCTTTGGCTCTGCTTTTTCTGTGAGCATGTGTTTCTTGCAAGTTCATGCCATCCTTCCCAGCAGCCTCCATGTTGGATTACTGTTTCTGATTCTCTCTTCGACCGTTTGCTGGTTCTTTCAAAAAAGAGAGCTGCAGAGGAGGACAGAGGCAGAACGATGTCAGGAGAATTAGGTTCAGATTCTGACTGTACACTTGTTAGCTGTCTGTTGTATCTGCCTGGCTTTGTCTCAGAATTCCTGTGAGAATCAAGTGAAATAGTTGATATGAAGCTATTGTACAAATTGCCAAATAATATAACATATTAGTAATGATATTGCCTACGACATTGTATACATAACTATGTGGAGACAGAGTCTTATGGAAGCAACATATTAAGAATCAAGAAGCAGTCCACTTATACCCAGTGTATGTCTTTATGACTATTATTTATTTCAGGTAGCTGCAGTTAAGCAATGTTTTTGAGGCTTCCCATAAAACTTAGAAAACCTTGTACGGTTTCGAGGGAATTTCAAGTAAATCTCTCCAAATTAGCTGACATTTCTCCTATGTTTTCTTATACATATCCTTGTCAATGCCTGTCATCTCACTTGTCACATTATTTCAAGACTCTGATAGGTCTAACCTTCCAATAGTCTGCAAGCTCCTGAGTGGTAGGCCATGTGTTTTGTTCACTTTCGTAGATGAAAAATCGAGGCCTAATTCTTTAGTGACACCTGGGCCTAGTTCACTAAAGGCAGGGACAGAGAATTGAACTTTGACTTTGGGAGTCTTAAAATGGGAAAAGAAAATGCATCAGTCTTCCAGGAAGCAATGAAAATTAGAGGTAGAAGGTAAACGTAGGAAAGAAAAAGAAGTAGAGACGAGAAACCCTGTCACGCGTAGAATCTGGAGGCCGTGTGGCGGACGCAGTGCGGGTGGCGTCAGGTGGCAGGAGGAGAGCCGGCTGGGTCCGGAGGCAGACGCGAGCTTCAGTCCACATTTCCTGGCAAGTCAGTTCACTGCTCCGAACTTAGGTTCCCTAAGATTTAAAATTAGATGGATGGAATGTATCTTTTAAATTTGTCATACCAGGTTCAGAAAACTTTGAAGACTCAGCTGTGGGGCTGTGGTCTGTGGTCTTTGGAGAAGTCACACCTCAGTAAGATGTGGATCAGGCCGACTTTTCAGGAACAACAGCAAACCTGCTCTTGTTTCTGGGGATTTTTGCCTTCTCCATAGATGTCGACCTTGATGGTACCTGT